CTAAGGCGCCGCGATTCGGTGTGCAGAGTTGCGTCCCTTGGGCACGCCAGAAACCTATGATTATGGGTTCGAATCCCGGTTCGCCCCGATTTTGTTTGTCAGCACCATACCAGTGCTCGTGGGTTTGGTAAACGTCTGAGACCTGCAAAACTTCGGGCTTTCCTCCCACATTAAGCTGACACGCCGCGATATAACTGGAGTACTGTTAAAAGTGGCGTTAAACCCAACTCACTTACTCACTTATCCCTATCGTCCTTCAAGAACGCTGGCAGTCATAACATCTACTATCATACTTCACTAACGGATGTCATGTGTTCCCAATTCGTTCATTATCATACAACTAATAGAAACTAATATCTCTCACAATTTTGGAAATTTTAAGTTCTGGTATCCCCTACTTTTTTTAGTGTATATATTGAACGTGATCTTGTAAAGTTTTCAATGCAAATAATTGGCGTAAATCAAATCTATAATATGTGGAGCATACGCAGAAATAACTACTGGACTATCATCTATGGTAACCATAATCTCGCCATCGCTTGGAAATGTATGTAATCAGAAACCCAGTACTCACATCCTGATAAACTTGAGCAATTCCAAATTAACATTACAGAGCAACGTGGCTATACACGACAGCGACTCGACATGGTATTGGGCACAATGACAGGGTTTACCCAAGCGAAATGATTCTGTAGAAATAAGACTCACATTTAAAACTCAGATGAGTGAACATATGTAGGTTACTTGAGATGAGCGAATGTAAGTCCCCGCGGGGGTTCTGTGTTAGAATATGTAACCAGCAACGAAAGAGGCGACTGAAAGAACAAATGTCAGGCTGACCTGGTTGATGTCCTGTCATTGTCCCCCAACGGATTACATCATCAATCACCGGTTTGCTTGGTCCACATTCGATTATTTATGAACCGCTATCAAATAGCTGGGATGTTGCTGAGTATTGCGTTAAACTATACTCTTCACAAAAAGAAACGCAATACGGACATTTTTGGCCATAAAAGTAAAATCAGCGGACCAAGAGGTGAAGAGGTAAAATGTGTTTTAGTGTCAGTGCGCCACCTACGTGAAAGGTCGACCACAGACACCTCAACCGAATCCCAAATAACTGGGCTAGGCAGAATCTCCGGCCAGAACGTAAAAAAACGTTTATAAGCAGCAGGTATACGAGCAAGACGTCATGTTCGACGCGTCGTATTGAGTCGACAACATCGTCAACAACAACTGCATTGGTGTCGTCAACACAGGGTATGGCCTCAACTGCGATGGAGAAATGTCTATTTCAGTGACGAATTAAGATTTCTCCTCCGTCGACGGGGTGGACGAGCACGGGTCATCAGACGTCAGAGAGAACGTTACGCCGGAGACTGCGTACAGGAGTGGGGGTAGCATTATGATGTGGGCGGCTATCTCTCATCATGGCCGGACAGGTTTGGTCCATACCCAGGGCAATCTTACGGCTCAACGATACATCAACGAAATTCTCCTACCACACGTCCTCCCAACTGCAGCCAACGGCAACGTTGTATACCAACAGGACAACGCTCGACCACCTACAGCATGGATCACACGTACCTGTTTAACAACAACGTTGATGTTCTCCCCTGGCCCTCCAGATCCCAAGATTTCAACCTGATAGAGCACCCGTGGGATGAATTGGAAAAACGGCTTCGCCGACGTCAACCACAACCCCAGACGTTGCAGCAGTTGGCATACAACAATCACCAAGTGTTCTCTCCACAATATTTTGGCTCAATACCTCGTACGGTTCCTTGTATAATTGTGTTTTCCTATCTCACACAAATCTGGCTTTGCGTTTCTTTTTATTTGAAGAGTATATAAACAAACTGGTAAGGAAAAATGCATGTAGCCGTACCTTGGGATCGTCTTAGAGTAAGCAAAGTCTCAGGAAATCTCATGTGTAACTTAAACTTTCATTTTACGGGAAAACGTAATGGTTAAACGTCATCAGCAATGCTTATTTTACAAAGCTAAATCACATTTCGCCATCGTATTTTACCTCAGAACAGTATGGGCAATCAGCGTTTAAAACTTTGGAGGCGATGGGCCTTTGTCAATAAAATTGGATTTGTATATTTCCATTGTTTTTAAACATTCCATAAGCTCAGCAAATTCAACATAAATTTTGTTTAATATTATTTCAGTATCACTAGTATCATTGTTATTGTCAAACCGAATGTGCTGCAAATTTACTAGTAACTTTATTTCATTGCTTATCGGGGTAGAGTTTCACATCACGTAAATATAAAACGTCACCGCCAGAGAATACCCAGTCTCGATAACCTGCTGAAAGAGACTCCATTGGGCGTAATAGGTAAAAATAGTGGTGAAAATTATATATGAATCAGCAATGACATCAGGCGTTTGCGAAATTGGTTTAGCATTTCCTGATCTATCTGTAGCACCCGCCACTCACACAATTCACATAAAAAATACGCATTTGTTTGTTGCCGAACGCCGTAATTCTTTTGCAAATGACGTCTCTATGAAGTTGTTTGTTTGTTGTTTAACGTTGCACTCAGCGATATGACGGCGGTCTGAAAGTAATCGAGTCTGGACCAGACATTCCATTGATTGACATCATGAACATCGATCCAGGCAATTGGTATACGATGACATGTATCAACCAAGTCAGCGAGCCTGACCACCCGATCCCGTTAGTCGCCTTTTACGACAAGCATAGTCACCTTTTACGGCAAGCATGGGTTGCTTAAGACCTATTCTACCCGGATCTTCTCTATGCAGTAAATATTTAAATGGGATCTGGTTACCCAGAACTCAATATCCTGTCACAGTAAATACACACTGTTGATACATCCTACACACCTTGTACATCCTCCGTCGTTATTTGTACCCAATCAATTGTGACTCGTGTACTTTTGTACTTCGAACAATAGTGTAAAATGTGTCTGTCACGATCGGGTTTTTTTCTACGGACATATCCTAGAATCTCGCAACGAGGTATTACCACTACGAAAAGAAATGCATTTTAATCATCAAAGTGAAAGCAGGTGTTGGCAGTGAATGCCACGAACCGTTGTTTGTACTCGGGTCTGTGTTTAATGTTTCACCACCTAAAAAGTCTGATATTATATTATGAAATTTTAAACAGCAACTATTTGCCTGACACTCAATAAGCGGAGGACGAATACCACATATATCAATCAATGCGAAGTAATTCGTAGTAAAAAACTATGTTTCTAAGTTTGTGATTTTCTTGTTGACAATGTTGAAGAGACATAAACACAGGCGCAGTTTTTATTGACGCATCATGTATATGTAATATGAGGAAAATGCATTTTAAACAAGTTGTTTTTAATAAAAGAAGTAACACTTAAACAACCTAGTTCCAATACATATATCTATCAATGCAACATACTGAAAACAGTAAAACCTATACAGATTGAGCATACTGGGAGGTACAGTTGAATAAATGCTACTCCGTTTCGCTTGAAGGTTCCATTTGATATTTCAGATGACCTATTTCGCTTTACAACCTTTTAAAAAAATCGTAGACTGTATTAATATACTGACGAGATACATTTGTTTTGTTTACAGAGTGGCAAATCCAAACTCGATATTCTAATGACTGTAGCTCTTCCAGGGCAATAGGGGCGGTCGGGTAGCCTAGTGTTTAAAGCGTTCGCTCGTCACGCCGAAGACCTGGGTTCGATTCCCGACATGGGTACAATGTGTGAAGCCCATTTCTGGTGTCCCCAGCCGTGATATTGCTGGAATATTGCTAAAAGCGGCGTAAAACCATACTCACTCACTCACTCACTCCAGGGCAATAGTTATCTGACCACCCATGTACTGCACCCTCTGCCTCTTTGTCCGAGTTGATTTGTCAAAGTACTTTTGACCATCTGGCAAAGCAGTGTTCTTGTGAAAACGATTCACCAGGTATCAGTGTTTCATTTTCTTAAACAGGAGATAAACGCCATGATAAATGAGTATATTTAAAATGTTTAGTTCTGACAACAGGCACCTTCTCATACCTTGAAGAGTCAGATGGACGGATTTCGCATCTGAGGATACGTACAACATAAATACAGACCAACATTAACTCAAACTGTAGCGAATGTGGATGTGACTACAAGTAAAACAGACCGGCCATCAAGTTCAAACACAGTAGAGTATTATAACAAAACAAAATAATGTGTAATAAAAAATGCAAATACATACTATAAGGACAGCCACTCTATGTGATATCCTACTATCTTATATGACCGTCAGATGTAATACGACTGAACCGTACATATTAAAGGGATAGCCACACTATAAGATAAGCGTTACATCACAGTCAGGTGTTATATGACGGCAAGGGACAGCCGCACTATAAGATTATGATTCGGACCCTTTGAAGGCAGATCAACTGCAACAACAAACACGCGCTTTTTTGTATATCATTACAACATCAGCAATAACACTTTCCGAATCACTGATTTCAGTTGCGCAGTCAAAGATAAAATGAAATTACAAATAATGACAAAAATCAACAACCTACACTCACGTATCATTGTGACCATGAGGTGAGGTGAGGTGAGGTGAGGTGAGGTGTAATGGGGTTGAACGTCTCGTCGAAGATTATTGCACGTAGAGAGCGACGTGCATGCACGTGTGTGTGTGTGTTTGTGTGTGTGAGTGTTTGCTTGTTTATAGCATTAACCCAATGAAATACCATGCCGCAGTTTAACATGATACCCCCAGTCAGTCACAGTATACTGACTCCGCGCTGACCAGTACGTGGTTTAGTCCCTTAATGCCGAGAACCAGCCAGGGTAAAAAAAGTAGCATCTGTTAACGTCTTTTGGTATGACGCGGTCGGAGATCGACCCGCCGACTTTCCGCCCTCCGGAGACAGTCATGTGACTATGATGTCATGCAGAAATCTAAACGCACCCGAATTTGACATTTCAATTATCTCTGTGTGCATGAGTGAACATCAGGTGACATATATATATGACCTAGTCATCCGTGTGGTTCATTGGGTTGAAGACTGTGGAGACCTTCCCAACCTACAACAATGGGAGTTAATTTCGACTATCAGTGCACAACCCATCTTTAATCCTCCACTGACGTCAAGATTCGTTACAACAGATTTCCCGAGCAGCTCACTGTATCGCATCGCATTGTTTGTTTGTTTGTTGTTTAACGCCGCACTCAGCAATATTCCAGCTATATGACGGCGGTCTGTAAATAATCGAGTCTGGACAAGACAATCCAGTGATTGATATCATGAGCATCGATCCATGCAATTGGGATCGATGACATGCATCAACCAAGTCAGCGAGCCTGACCACCCGATCCCGTTAGTCGCCATTTACGACAAGCATAGTCACCTTTTACGGCAAGCATGGGTTGCTGAAGACCTATTCTACCCCGAAATCTTCACGGGTCTAATATATGCTTTTTTGCGAACACCCGGTGTCATCACTGAATTTCAGTGATCCAGTCATATATGTTCACCATTACTTCCTTTTTACACCCAATGGAATCTGTTTCGGCAGAAAATCGGATCTGATTATTCTCTGGCGTTGACGTTATATATGTATTACACTTGCAAGCGTTCGACTTCCGATATGCGCTAATACAGAAGTACCTCTGTGTGTCATCGGTATAGTGATCGCACCGTTCTTCTGCTTGAACTACGTCACCGTTCGGCAAAGTCCGGCGGTCGTCGTTGTACAGAGTCATCTCAAGTTTTGTTAGAGACTTATAATTAGTGACCCGACTATTTCATTCTCTTGTGATTTAACGGCACACTTTTACCAGGTATTGACTTGATGTTTGTTATCTCATATATGTTCGCTTCCTCATTCAATCAATCATTTTATTTGAATTCCAATACATATAGGCCACAGTCCTTTGTGTACAAAAGTTGAGCACAGACAAGTTTTAGATATTCAGTTTCGCATTTCTTACTTCATTTGCATAATATAGACATTTTGCTAGACTTGTAATAATATGTATCTGGTGATGACAGAAGCATATTAAATTTATGAACGTTAGGATGACAATAGAACTTTGCTTTGAGATATAGTTGCCGTAAATTGACATACGATGATCGATGCTCATGTGTCTGGTCCAGACTCGATTATTTTACAGACCGCCGTCATATAGCTGAAATATTGCTGAGTGCGGCGTTAAAAAACAAACAAACAAACAAACAAACATTTGAGACCCGTGAAGATCCGGGGTAGAATAGATCTTCAGCAATCCATGCTTGTCGTAAAAGGCGACTAACGGGATCGGGTGGTCAGGCTCGCCGACTTGGTTGATGCATGTCATCGATCCCAATTGCGTGGATCGATGCTCATGATGTCATTGCTTATCGGGGTAGATTTTCACATTACGTAAATATAAAACGTCGACGCCAGAGAATACCCAGTCTCGATTACCTGCTGAAAGAGACTCCATTGGACGTAATAGGTAAAAAATAGTGGTGAAAATTATATATGAATCAGCAATGACATCAGGCGTTTGCGAAATGGGTTTACCATTTCCTGATCTATCCGTAGCACCCGCCACTCACAAAATTCACATAAAAAATACGCATTTGTTTGTTGCCGAACGCCGCAATTTCTTTTGCAAATGACGTCTCTATGAAGTTGTTTGTTTGTTTGTTTTTTACCGCCGCAGCTAGCAATATTACAGCGATATGACGGCGGTCTGTAAATAATCGAGTCTGGACCAGACAATCCAGTGATTGACATCATGAGCATCGATCCAGGCAATTGGTATACGATGACATGTATCAACCAAGTCAGCGAGCCTGACCACCCGATCCCGTTAGTCGCCTTTTACGACAAGCATAGTCACCTTTTACGGCAAGCATGGGTTGCTTAAGACCTATTCTACCCGGATCTTCTCTATGCAGTGAATATTTGAATGGGATCTGGTTACTCAGAACTCAATATCCTGTCACAGTTAATACACACTGTTGATACGTCCTACACACCGTGTACATCCTCCGTCGTTATTTGTACCCAGTCAGTTGTGACTCGTGTACATTTGTACTTCGAACAATAGTGTAACATGTGTCTGTCACGATCGGGTTTTTTTCTACGGACATATCCTACAATCTCGCAACGAGGCATGAGGTATGACCACAAAGAAAGGAAATGCATTTTAATCATCAAAGTGAAAGCAGGTGTTGGCAGTGAATGCCACGAACCGTTGTTTGTACTCGGGTCTGTGTTTAATGTTTCACCACCTAAAAGGTCTGATATTATATTATGAAATTTTAAACAGCAACTATTTGCCTGACACTCAATAAGCGGAGGACGAATACCACATATATCAATCAATGCGAAGTAATTCGTATTTAAAAACTATGTTTCTAAGTTTGTGATTTTCTTGTCGACAATTTTGAAGAGACATAAACACTGGCGCAGTTTTTATTGACGCATCATGTATATGTAATATGAGGAAAATGCATTTTAAACAAATTGTTTTTAATAAAAGAAGTAACACTTAAACAACCTAGTTCCAATACATATATCTATCAATGCAACATACTGAAAACAGTAGAACCTATACAGATTGAGCATACTGGGAGGTACAGTTGAATAAATGCTACTCCGTTTCGCTTGAAGGTTCCATTTGCTATTTCAGAACGACCTATTTCGCTCTACAACCTTTTTAAAAAATCGTAGGCTGTATTAATATACTGACGAGATACATTTGTTTTGTTTACAGAGTGGCATACTCATGTTAAACAATAGCATCCAAACTCGATATTCTAATGACTGTAGCTCTTCCAGGGCAATAGGGGCGGTCGGGTAGCCTAGTGGTTAAAGCGTTCGCTCGTCACGCCGAAGACCTAGGTTCGATTCCCGACATGGGTACAATGTGTGAAGCCCATTTCTGGTGTCCCCCGCCGTGATATTGCTGGAATATTGCTAAAAGCGGCGTAAAACCATACTTTCTCACTCACTCACTTCAGGGCAATAGTTATCTAACCACCCATGTACTGCACCCTCTGCCTCTTTGTCCGAGTTGATTTGTCAAAGTACTTTTGACCATCTGGCAAAGCAGTGTTCTTGTGAAAACGTTTCAGCAGGTATCAGTGTTTTATTTTATTAAACACGAGATAAACGCCATGATAAATGAGTATATTTAAAATGTTTAGTTCTTACAACAGGCACCTTCTCATACCTTGAAGAGGCAGATGGACAGAATTCGCATCTGAGGATACGTACAAGATAAATACGGACCAACATTAACTCAAACTGTAGCGAATGTGGATGTGACTACAATTAAAACAGACCGGCCATCAAGTTCAAACACAGAAGAGTATTATAACAAAACAAAATAATGTGTAATAAAAAATGCAAATACATACTATAAGGATAGCCACTCTATGTGATATCCTACTATCTTATATGACCGTCAGATGTAATACGACTGAACCGTACATATTAAAGGGATAGCCACACTATAAGATAGGCGTTACATCACAGTCAGGTGTTATGTGACGGCAAGGGACAGCCACACTATAGGATTATGATTCGTACCCTTTGAAGGCAGATCAACTGCAACGACAAACACGCGCTTTTTGTATATCATTACAACATCAGAAATATCGTTTTCCGAATCACTGATTTCAGTTGCGCAATGTCTGTTACACGTACATGTACTGGATGGTCAGATAGCTTTCAGTCTGTGAAACAGCTGCTCCAACAACCAACACTAACGTATCATTGTCACTATGCGGTGAGGTGAGGTGTAATGGGGATTAACGTCGCGTCCAAGGTTGTGACGTGTGTGTGGGTGTGTGTGTGTGTGTGTGTGTGTGTGTGTGTGTGTGTGTGTGTGTGTGTGTTTGTATATAGCATTAGCCCAATGAAATATCATGCCGCAGTCTGACATGAATACCACCAGTCACAGTATACGGCCACCGAGCCGACCAGTACATGTTTTAGCCCCTTAATGCCGAGAGACAGGCAGGGTAACCACAAGTAGCATCTGTTAACGTCTTTTGGTATGACGCGGTCGAAGATCGAACCCCGACTTTCCGCTCTCCGGGCGGACGCTCTTCCACAATACCACGGAGACAGCCCTGTGGCTATGATGACATGCAGAAAACTAAACGCACCCGAATTTGACATTTCAATTATCTCTGTGTGTATGAGTGAACAACAGGTGACATATGACCAAGTCACCCGTGTGGTGCATTGATGTGGAGACCTGTGTGAAGTGCTCACGTATATCAAACCGAATGAGCTGAATCCGCCTGTTTCACAACCTACAATGGGAGTTAATTTCGACTATCAATGCACACCCACTGACGTCAAGATTCTTTACAACAGAATTCCCGAGCAGCTCACTGTATCGCATCACATTGTGACAACCCAAACAAATTGCGTTCGTTTTGTCAGAAATGTGATATTTGTTTCTTTCTTTCTTTGTTGTTTATCGCCGCATTCAGCCCTGTTACAGCTATATGACGTCGGTCTGTAAATAATCGAGTCTGGACCAGACAATCCAGTGATACGGTGACATGCATCAACCAAGTCAGCGAGCTTGACCACGAGATCCCGTTAGTCGCCTTTTACGGCAAGCATGGGTGGCTGAAGACCTATTCTATCCCGGATATATGATATATCGGGACTTCCATATATATTGTAACATATAATTGTTTCTTGCTTGAAATTTATTTTGCATTTGAACGCAATGTAATGAAATGAACAATCAAATGACAAATGTTTTCTTTTAGTGATCTGGCAATAACTGACTGGCGCATTGTCCTGAGGGAAGAGAAATAATAAGTTTCAGATGTAAGTTGAAAACTACTCTCGACTGGTATAAGATGCCAGAAAATATTGCCTTGGTGACATCTACTGTAAAAAAGAAGTGTTGGACAATTTAGATCCAGAAAAGTCCAGGGACATACATGTACGTAAATATGCAAAAGATTCAGAACAGACTGGTTAAATCTGGCGTCCCAATGGTGCAAATTATGGAAGTAATGCTGGCAGTTCAGCAAAAACAGGTTGACATGAGTACCGTTGAT